TATCGATTTATGGCGCATCGTCGAGGATTGCTGTTTTATTCCAGTCTACTTTGAAATGTGAAATCGTAATGCTCACGAGTCGTCACGTAGCAGAGGAAATAGATCGCTGTAAGGTTGCATGTCCTAGTATCATGTTACCGAAGTCCCCGTTTAGGTAATTGCAGGGAGAATTCAGTATCTTAAATGCATTTCGAGTAAAGAAATGTAAAAAATGTGTATCATGATTATTCAGGGAGGAATGCTTTATGATTAATGGAACTAGTTGTTTGATTATCAGAATGACTTTTGGTTTTTAAAATTACAACATAACTGGGTAGTAAGGGTTAAGCGTTAGAAAAAATCGAAACACATAGAACCAACTTTGAAACTCGAATTCAATGCACGCCGCCACCTTGGTTAGTGTGACGCGTTACGGTTTGTTAACTGCAAACAAAATATCTGTTGTTTGAAGATAATGGTGACAACTACGTACTCTCGTTCGATGACAAATGGATTCCTGAACATGTGAATATTCGTCCTTCAGTAGATGTTCCCAGGGATTTCAGTTAGGGAATCTTTTAAGCGAAGGCAACTTTTTAATTTAAAAGAGTTTAAGACAATCCTCAAGACAAGATTAAGGTGTTGATTACTAATAGGGCCCGAACTTGGTGTTTACTATGTATTGTTAACTTGCGAATAATTTGTGGTGATCACCTTTCAGTGTGTAATGTTAGGCAATTACCCAGGTAAATTTATCCAGTTGTCCACGTTATTTCGATTAGGTTAAGTTACGTTCATTCAAAACGTTTTTCTTTGCTTAAACACAACAAAGATCTTTGACGTTGTTTTATCAACAATTATTAACTGAGTTTTAAAACTGCCTGGAAGTTTTGTCTGACCATGTGTAATCTTTTTCCCTTGCGAACTCTTCAAAGAAGCATGTGTGACCGGATAAAACCGCTGAAATTTCTAAGAGACGATTTCCTTCCACTAGAAATGGATGTAGGAAAAGAAATGGTGGACGTTCTTCCAAAACTGCCGGCCCGAAAGGAGGATATCTTTCTTACGTCATATCCAAGATCAGGTTCGTTTACAAGTGACAGGGGTCTTTTCTCTAAAATGTGAAACTCACTATAAATCAATACATGATTTGTTTTGATGTCTTCAGTCAACTGGGCCGGGGACATTATTATGTTATTGGTTTGTACTTATTTGGTTCCTCTTCGTCACTATGACTATTCAGGGTATTCCGAGTAGTTTTGCCGGCACATTCATACGGCAACGATAGTAACAACGAAGGGCACGATAATGATGTTGCAAAAAGGCTACGTTTGGGTTAAGTTGAGATAGGAGCAGAAAGAAATTGTGAAAGTAATTCTAGTTTGATTTGGGATGGAATAAGCCGTGAGAAATACTTGGATCACGGTTGATCCGACCCCATTTCTCAAAGTTTTGCTTCTCCTTCGCCATTTCGATTTATCCCTTATGTCCATAAGACAGTTTTTTTTACAAGATTGCAGAGTAACAAGAACGACGATGATACAAGCAACGCTAAAAATAAATGAAAGTAGCAACCAGAAAAATTATAAGGAGAGGAATACATGGCCGTTGCGCAGGCCAACCTTCTCGCATGGTGTAGGTTGAGCTCGCTGTAAATTATCAGTTATGTTTACAGGGCTATTTTTATCAGTACTTTTGAATTAAGTTGAATGATTCCCCACAAACGATTAAGCACTGACTCTCCAAGGCGCGGAAAAATAAACTTTTTGCTTATTATTAGCTTCTCATTAATAGCAATGATTTATTTTTATGTAATGCCTCATTCGTTTAACAAAGATTGAAATAACGTCTCGGCTGCGATCCACACGATCCACTGCGATCTCTTTGCAAATTGTAGAATTGTACATTTTCTGGAACTTTGCGGGTTTCTTTTGTCATTTTTCGCAGGCTCCACTTGGACTGGGGAAATTATATGGCAGATTCTTCATGATGGTAAAATAGACGAGCGACGATTGGATGAACGAATACCTTTTGTGGAAGGGATTATTCTGCCTTTTAGATCTTATCCCTATACTGTAACAGACCCCGAGTCCGCCAAGAAAATGTTTACCAGCTTCTCTGAGCCTCGCGTATTCAAAACTCATCTTCCTTATTGCTTCGTCCCTAAGGGCTCTGATGAAGCTAACAAACCTCGATACATATATGTTGTGCGCAATCCCAAAGATGTGTTTGTGTCTCTTTATCATCATCACCGCAACATGCCTTATTTAGTGGAAATTCCTTCCTGGGACGAGGCGTTCAAACGTTTTATCACAGGAGACTGTAAGTAACATTCCCTTAGCCATTCTTCATGAACAAGAGCTTTAAGTCATTAAGACATATAATAGGTATATTGGTTCTACAACTCAGTGAACATCCTTTGATAATAAATTTCAGAAGAGGCAAACATATGACTAGTTCACTAACACGGCTTCCCGGTTGAAGTCCTAAATGTAATAACTGTCCTAAATGTAATAAAGTCCTAAATGTAATAAGCCTCCAATGTAATGGTTTAACTCCTTCAGCGCATTGTTGTTATGGCGGACATCCACATTGAGATGTTAAAGTGACAGCTGTCGCACTAAAAAAACCGCTGACCATTATATATGTCACATTACGGGCTCGCTGATATCAATCAGTGTCTTTTTACTTGCTAGACATAAGAAATATCAGCAGTCGGAGTATGGTCCTTTAAGCGGTTTATTGATCGAGTTGAAGAAAATAATTTCCAGCCCAAAGTGGGCTAGTGCTTGGCTGGAAGCTCAATAGGATGGAATCGATTAGTGCGTAATCACTAGGACTTTTTGGAGAGGAAATTGACTACAATTGATGTTGAACTAGCATGCTATTGTTAATGTTATCGTTCGTGTTAAAGTCTTTAGTAGTCATGCACCATTTTAGAGCAGTTTTAATGATTTCGCTGTGTCACATGTTAATCCAAAAGAAAAGCATTATTATCAGTAGTGTTACTGAAATTTTGCACATCAATATTATTCATTGTCAATTGATTTTAATGAAGTATTTTGAGTTCATTTTTAAGAATGACTATCTTGATTTATTCAATTTTGAACCTGAGATATTGCATTTGTAGCCCTCTATGGCTTTACTGCACCTCAGTAATCAGTTCATGTACCATATGACTATAAGTGGAAACTGTTGAGCTTTCTTTTTTCATTCATTTATTTATCTATTCATTTTCTATCCTCACGACGGGGAGAAGAGATGAAGACAAAAAGTGAAATATAAACTTGAGATCATCTGTAAAATATATGTTTTTTCAGTATTTCGGTTCGGGAACTGATGAACCAGTCATTAAGGGGCTTAAGGAAAAAAATGAACGATTCATTAGACCATCAACTGACCATCGTGTGTTGAATGTTGTAGCTCAATGGTTCAATTTGACTTTTGCGTGGAAAAAAGGCAACATGTCGAGACCTGTGATCGTGAAATGGAATAATATATGATTGGTCAGTAGATATCTTGCTCCGTAAGTCACTTTATCATATAGCTAGCAGCGCGCGCGGGCAAGATGAAGTAAATCCTGTGTTCTGATTGGCTACCTGAGCAGGCAAGATGGGCCCACCCTCGCCCGCTCGGGATTCCCCGTATTGATGCCACGTAAGAAAACTTACAAAGTTCGTAACTTTTGGACAATGTCGGCATATACATAGGAAAAAAATAAACGACCCTCTTGGGTTTATTGTGTTGCAAACACAGTTGGCTTTCTCTATCGGCTCTCGAAATAAACATTTGATTCTTATCAAAGCGAAATCTTTTGCTATACAATGAATCCTTTAATGACCAAGCCAAGAGAATACAAGACCAAGCTTGTTCAGTCAAGATGACTGGATATTAGCCTTGTTCTTTTTTTACTTTTTTATGGACCGAGACTTCGTCTCAGTCCATAAAAACACAGGAAAAAAAAAAAAAAAAAAGAACTCGGCCAATATCCAGCCATTTTGACCTCATGCTTGGTCAATAACGCATATGAATACATTTTATTCAGACCCATACAAATCTGGCAAGGGAAGACAGTACAAAAAATGCTCTTCCGAGCCCGGAATTTGTCCAACGTATAAGTCGGTGGACTTTCTTTTCCTTGTAATTCAGTTCATGAATTGTTAACTTCAGCACTGATCACACAAGTATATCGTCAAAACCTGTTACACTTAAGAGTCTGAGCCAATGATATAAAGAGAGCTATTGATCAGCGTTCTCATTCCTTTGCGTCCGTCAATTTGATGCCAAAAGCACATCAGTATAAGGTTTTGTAGCCAATGCTTCTCAACATATGTCTTTAGCAAATAAAAAGACGCTGATTAATATCAGCGAGCCCGCAATATGCCATGAATATTGGTCAGAGGATTCTTTAGTGCAACAGCTGTCACTTTAGCATCTCAATGTTAGCGCAGTCAAACGGCTGCATAGGAGGCTTATTACATTTAGGACCGAACGTTATTACATTTAGGGCTTTATTACATTTAGGACCAAATGTTATTACATTTAGGACTTTATAACATTTAGGACAGTTATTACATTTAGGACTTCAACACCCGTAAGACGGCGGTAGAGAAAAAAACACAACAAGACTGCCAAGGCTGACACGTTTGAGAGCAGCCATCTTTGATTTGTACGAAGTAGAGTGGCAATTACTCAAAACAAAGATAAACATTTTACTGGAAACCAGTAAGAATTCGGAGTTAAATCGTAACTGACATTAAGTGACGGATAATGGAAGTGAAACAACTGGTGCGACCTCAAAAACTAATTGAGAGTCCGTCGCGAGTTTTCAAGACAAAAAACCCGAGGATAAGTTAAACAAGGAAAACAGTCAAATAAACAAACAATGAGATCCCGGTTATGTCTGACTGTCTGATCGTCGATTGGAAAAGGCACCCATACCATCAACGAAACATAACATATCACAGTGAACTCGCAGGTTTAGAGTCTACCAAACTATAAACTTAATATAAATCAAGCTCTGGGAATGTAATATTTCTGAGGTCTGCTTGGGCGAAGGAAATATAAACAGCAAAATTGTACGTTTTAATGAAAGGCTTTTTCTTGCCTACTTTGCAGTTGCGTTTGGTTTGCACTTTGATCACGTGTTAGGCTGGTGGGAACAAAGGGACGACCCTAACATTTTGATTCTTACTTATGAGGACAGAATAAAGGTAAGAAATCAAAGTCAACCGTTTATGGATCCTAAAGCTCTTGAGAATGTATAATATAACCCTCTATTTCGCTTAAGGATTAAGGTTTTTTAGTATTTAATTCGCCAGGGCGCTAATCAGGCTAATCTTTGTGCATGACTTGCGGATGTAGAAAATAAATAGATACCAGAAAGAGAACTCGCGTAACCAAGTGTTTTCAATATTTTCGACAATTTAAAACAGTTTAAGTCTTTAACAATTCACATGGATTTGCATGTATGCATGATAAGATTTTGTTTGTCGCCATGCAGCTTTTCCTCTTACGGTTCTTTAATATGTGAGCAACTAAACCATTTTGTAAAAAAACGTCGCTGAACTCCATCAAGGCTACAATGTTTCAGTTAAACCGCTAAAACTAAACCCACCAAAATCAAAGTGACACTACGGGCTCGTCGTAAACACTAGAAAACTGTCGCACTCAGGATGTGTTAAGACCGACTGTACCTGTTTCAAGGGAAAGTTCCAGCGAGTTTCAATACCCAAATAAATGCAAAGATAGCAACGTATAACTTTATTTTGACCAATCACATTGGAGATCCAGTAATTGAAGCAAACCACAGAAAAACCTGAACTTATTAGCGTCATTCTGCGAGATTCACAATAATAGTTAGTTATAAAATGTTATTCTTTAAGGATCCAGGAGATGCTGTTGACAAGATAGCAAATTTCCTTCGTAAAAAGATCTCCCCTGAAACACGTGACCTTATTGTCAGACAAACGTCCTTTGACGCCATGAAGAGTTCCAGTCACACCAACTTTACTTGGTTTGAAGGAATCAAGGGGGATGGCTATATTAGAAAGGGTCAAGTAGGAGGATGGAAAGATTACTTCACTGAAGAACAGAATGAGTTGTTTGATAAGGTTTTCAGTGAAAGAGTTGGAGATGGTGAGACTGCAGCTAAATTAAGAGAACTGCTGTCACTGTAGTAGCCCCGAAATGAAACAGAAATTCAAATTGAAATAACAGACGCGCTTTGTTTAATGATTATGTTTGTACGCAATGAGCACCCATTAGGAATTTAACCCAAATGTTGATGATAAAACTAGCAGTATGGGTTGGGATTATTAGAGAAGATTTTAAAAATGCATGGACCTTCTAGCCTGAGGAAATTTTTTGTTTTTATATCAAATTTAATTTTAGTAATAACACGCAGATTGCATAATGTTGAGCCTGTTTAGAAGGTTTGCCTGTTTAAGACTCAAACTCCCAACACCGTACCATGCTTGGCCCCACATTCCCTTCCGGTCTATCGATTCTAAATCCAGCCAACCTACTAGTGCAACAGCAACAGAGTACGACGACGACAGGTGACAACAAAGAAGATTTCAGTATAATAAATGAGAAATACATGGGCATTGGTAAAAGTAGTTTTTGTTTCATAGTATTTGGGGCTTCACCTGAAACGTTCTCACATATACAAACAAACGAACAAAAGATAAAAGAAATAAAATGAAAGCGTAATGATTAGAAAAAAAATTCACTCAATGATGATGAAATACATTGGATTCTTATTGGGTGTATCCCACTTGACAATGCATCGCTGATTGGGTTAATTAATTGCTGTCGCATTTGAGACTTAGTCCTCAGAGAAAGGCTTTTTTTTTCTCACAACGACCGTTTCTGAGAAACCAGAGTTATACCGCACGTATATGGGTTCAAGACTGATGAACTGATAAGTGAAAACTACTGCTAATATTTGTATCTGATGTTATAGTTACGTACTAGGTCCGGAGGAATGCGACACGGCTTTGTTCGAGAAGATCAAGTAGGAAGATAAAAACATAACTTTGTCGGAAAACAGAACAGTTTTTTTGATAAGGTGTAGGTTAATCAAGTTCATTTACAAATAAAAATTTGCCACCAACATGGATGTATGCGTGGAATTTCATTAAAGCGGAGGTGCTTGTGAGTTTCAATTTTCTTCCAATCGAGGGATAACTTATCTTGTTTCAACTTTGATGGTAGGGAAGAGAGTAAAGTGTGGGAAAGAGGAGCCCAGTTCACTTGCAAAATTCTTGAGGAAGGCTGGTGCAATAACACTAGTACAGATTATTTAGAAAAGTAAATTATTAACTGACATGACTTACCCTTCTGCTTAACGTTGACAGCAATCTTGAAGAAGTCAAAAAATACTTGGATTGTCCAGTAAATGGGAAATAAGTGCTCTAAGATTTTGGGGCATTTACTGGCTGTTAGATCAAGTAGACATTTTCTTGATGAACAGTTGGGGATATAGCCATGCTGTTACCAATATAATGGGAAATTTGAAATATTAAGCATCTTGAATATTTAAAAAATATACAAATAACATTCTTTAATAGTGATAACAGATGTACAGTAATGGACAATGCAACCAACTTGTACAAGTAAAGGTCACTGCTTCCTACAATATAAATTTGACTTTGATTTTACCAAACTGTCACATGTAGGTGAGTCACATGTTATCAGTATTATGTGTAACTGAGGAAGTACCAGTAAATCCCACATGAATTAACTCAGTATGTACAGATTTGTATGGGAGTGTTGTCAAGCCAAACAACAGTTATCATTAACACAGATTTTAATCAGTACCCTTACTAGCACAAAGGAAATTATGTAGGGGCTAAAATTAGCACACTCACTTAACACCTTCACTGTACCAGTGGCACAAAAGGCCCTCTTTACAGAGGCTTCATAAAATCTGTCATTTAAAGATCACATATAAGTACTTGGGGTAGAACAACAAAGTGTAGCTATTTGTTGCTGGTCTGAAGCTTCCAAGTTGAAATTTGATTCATCTTCTGATAAAATACACAGTTCTGGCTGTTGGTCATGATGCCATCTAAGAGGGACATACCTCTGTGTGAGGTGGTGGGGCATGTTTTTAACTCTCAAAAAAATTTAATTAATCCTCATCTTCACTTGGTTCTCCCTTTTCAATTCTGTTTGCCAAGTCTTTTACAAGAAACTCCAAGGAATCATTCTCTGTCAACCTTTTGACTGATTCGCCCTTTTCAGCCAAGATATCTTCAATATTTCTGTAAAATATCATTCAACAGGCTTAAAGTAATAATTTAATCACATGGACCATTCAAGCTTGACTTCAGGTGTGATTGCATATGTATCTTGCATATGTATCTTGCATATGTATCTTGCATATGTATCTTGCATATGTGGGTAGGCATTGTATCAACTCACTCATTTGTGGATTTTCATTATTACTTTTATAAGGAAGTTAATGACTGAAATTAAACTTAAACCGACTTTCTATGTGTACAAAACACTGAGACAATGTGAAGGTGGTTTCTGAATAAGAAAAAGTTGATTTACAATCAACTCACATGGTATGTACATGTACAGTGTATGCCATTTCGAGGAGAGACTGTGCATGATCTCTGAGGATTAACATATTCTGACTTTGGATGAATTGTCTCATCTAGTACAGATGTACTTTTGGCAAAATGATTGGATACCAACAAAACAGAGGTAATACACAGTGTATATGGGCAGCGTGGAACCAGTGGGAGGTGGATGGGGGGCAGCATTAGTGGTACTTTCTACTAATAAGCTAATAAGAATGTGCCAAAGGATGGGGTCACATTTTCATGACTGGGTTGATTACCACAGGTTTTCATTTTCTATAGAGTTACTAAAATGGGGTTGAACCTTATTGGACATTTTGGGGGATAAGAAAATTCCAGTTAGTAGGAATTAAAAAATGGCAAGATCACAGTCGAGAGGTTCTAGGACTGGCCAAAGAATATAATATAATGGGGTAGGGGATCTTAAGGAACAGTAGCACATGCCCAGCATAGCGTAGCCCAAGTTTCCCGAAGTTCCAAGTTCCCCGTCCCGGGGCCTGGGATCCCTTAAACGTTTCCACAGCTGTACTCTTTCAAAAACGGTTTTCCTTGAAAAAAAATACATCGAAAGTCATCAAAATTAACCCCCTGCTAAATTAAATTAAATTTAGACTTGAGGAAATGCATCTTTGGGGAATTAGGATTTTCACCAAAGAATGCAGTGTTTATGTCACATAAGCTTTTAGTTCTCTATCTTAGGCTCTATCTAACTCAAAGCAGTAAAGCAAATTTACCTGTTATCGTCATAAAACCATCCCAAGTTGTCGGCTATAAGATGATTGTTGTTACATCCAGGACATTTGACAATAACTACTCCTTTAGAATAGGCCTGTTTACTAAAAAGCTTCTGTGATCGTGTTTCACACACTTTGCACGTGAATACTAGATGAAACTTATCACTTTGATCAATCGACCCCAGCGGTTTACAACCGCCATTCGTCGCCTTACTGCAAAAGCTACGCCATAAGGAACACGTTCTCGTAGATGTAGCTGTAGTTAAGGAAGTACTGAAACTAAAAGGTCTTCTTATCAAATGATTCCACGATACTTGTCTTAAAACGCGATGCGACCTTGCACACACGTTGGCCGCCATTTCACTTGTTACCTATGTGTTCATACACCAAACACGTTTTGAAACTCACTGACATCCGCTGGTATGAGCGCGGGCTTGTGTCTCGTCAGATATGGAGGAGAGGTCTGATACATATGGCGGTGTGGAGGAGAGGTACACTTCGCCTGCCCCAATATAATGTACTAGATCTTCTCAACAGATCGAATTCGTTGAAGATCATATGCAAACGATGTGCAAGTCAAGCTCAAACGTCTGAGGATAGAAAACCACGCTCGATGGTTGGTCGATGTGGTTTATGTTACTAAACCCTGCATCAGTTTTCAAGTTTTTAGAAACTAGATGTATCTTCAGCTATTAATTACTGAACTGATTTGTTCCAAACATGGTAGTCAATAATCTTTTGTTATTACTAATGATAAATTATATTTTTATGATTGCCCTTGCTCGTACATAGTAAAGCGAAGTACTAATGTCAGTAAATGTACACACACTAGATAGTTGTTATTTAGCTTTCTGTTCTAAACAAATGACTACTAGATTGGGTTTAATTTCCAGGCAATAGCGAGTCAAGGTGAACATTACTGTATAATGAATTGTTTTTGTTTTTGCACAGGTTGTTGGTTTGGGTAATCTTTCCCTTCCTGACACCCGCCACAGTGTTGGAATGCTTGTAGTTGACTCTCTTGCCAAGTATTTGGGAACTTCTTGGCATTTCAGTAGGCAATCTTTGGGTTACGTAGCAGTGACAAAAGTTGGTCACCTAGAAATTATACTACTGAAACCTTCTGTTGCAATGAACTTGAATGGAAGGAGCATTTCAAAAGCAGGTACCCTGGCTGTTAGATTATTCTCTAACTTATGACATGACTTTTGTGGTACTTATTTAATATTGGTGTTGGGATAAAACTTGATATCATCTCTAAGTTTACGCCTTACACCTAAGCTTCACTATGCATATTCTCTACACTGTTCTCTATAGATTTCCAAAGGTACTGATTAGGAGAATTTGTTTAACAACCAAAGGCTTCTTTAGTTGATGATCATTTTCATTTATTCTGGTTACTTTTGTGTGTGATTCAGGGGTGATATTGTTGGAAAAAACTTGGTGCAAGTCACTCTTTGGGCCAAGGGGTTTAACCTCTTCTATGAGATTGGTGAGAAGAGGAGATGCCAAGATGAGTTTTTGAAAAATTGTCAAGAGTTTGGCCCACACACAGGTCTGGCTGATGGAATGAGATAGAATGCATAACTTTACGTTCTCATTTTCGCAGTAGTCCTTGTAAAGAGTTGCAGGATGTGGAGAGTTAGCTGAAGTTATGAACCTGATGAATTTACTTGAATAGTGATACCACAAACTTGATAACATTTTTACATGCCATGGCATGTAATTCATGTTACTGTTCCTTTCTTATTCAGTCACAATGTATAAAGTGAACCCATCTGATGTTATTCTTGTTCATGATGACCTTGACAGACTTGTAGGGAAGTACAGTTTAAAACATGGAGGAAGTGCTGGGTGAGCTATGTTATACCAAGCACTACATGTACTTCCGTACAACACTGATGCACCTGCTTTTATAGAGTATAAGGCTGCCTATCGAACTGGCCTGCTTAGTTAGCTACTATAGCTTTATGTAATATCATGGGTTCCTATAGCATGAAGCTGGCAGTAAAAATTGTTAATCCTTAGTAAACTCTGAGTAGTATTTTGACAATTTGCCTCTACTTAAATATGTAAATTTAGTTGTTAAATGTTTTTGTGTTTTAAATTTTTTCAAATCAGTGCTATTTTTATTTCCCCTAGTTCAGACTGACTGATAATGAAAATGAGACGATGTTAAGCAAAAATAAGCTGGTTTTAGCAAGAGATTTAGACTAAGGAATGGCAATTTAACCCCAATATGACCATGAGAGGCACAATGAGAGAGCCTATGTCTTAAAACACCATGCCATCAGGACCATATAAAGACTGTGGGAGGGCTAGCTATAACTCCACTGCTTCTCCCACAACATGTGGTATGCGAAATAAGAAATTATAGCTCATGCACTAAATGTCATTTGTGACAAATGCTAAACAAAGATCAAACTCTGTTCGTCTGGATGCAGAGTTTCGATTCATGTATACAACATTTTTTGCAGGGGTCATAATGGAGTAAGATCAGCAATTGCATCTCTGCACTCTGATGTGAGTTCCTGTGTTTTTCTTTTATTCTTTATTGTGATTGTGGACATTGGAAGAAGGGAAGAGGATGAAAGCTCAGCTATCAAAAAAAAATTTTTCTCTCATCATCATCAGACATTAGAGATCAGAGATTTCCCTGGATACTACATAAATTTCTCCACTTACATTTCAGTGGCCCAGCCTATTTTTTTTTATTCAAATATACAGACATTCAGTCCTGCTTTTGCATTTCTTAACGAAAACCCAGCATTACACCCTTGGCATGGCTGACTTTTAAGCAGCGGTTCACTGAAATCTTGTTACAAGACTGAGATGATGCATGTCATGTCTTGTTTGATGTGCATTTGTTTATTTATTTTTTAGAGCTTAAGGAGAGTTCGTGTAGGGATAGGGAGACCAAGCAAGAGAGATAACGTGACAGAATATGTCTTGAGCAATTTTGATCCATCAGAGATGCTTGTCATGGAGAGAACAATAGAACAATGCTGTAATATACTCATGAAGGAGCTTAAGTTATTAAGATCTTAGGAGAATGTCCACTTTAGTGAAGTGCCAAGGGAATAGTTTTTACAACATAATTCTGCAGTATTTATTTAGTTGCCTGTCTCCTAAAATTCAATCATTATAAATAGCATCTTTGACAAAGTTTATTTCAGCATTAAAATTTCAACATAAATTTACACTCTCATTATCTTATTTACCTCAAATGTGTCCTGTTTTACCATTACCATCATTCATGACTTTGCCGGGTTTACATGCCTCTCAAGAAAATAAGAAAAGAGAAACTTAATTTGATAGTAGCCGCCTGTATCAGCAGATGCGTACAGGAAAAGTGCATGAGTACTTACACTGTAACTTTGGTTTATCATGCTGAAAATGTTCATGGCTGTGCACATTTACATGCACTTGAGAGAAGTATCTGCACCACTGCATGTTTACCAATAGACCCTCCCTTAAGTAAAATTGCATTAATAGTTGATATAATTTTACTTACAGTCAAACCTGTTTAGAGCGGTCACCCACGAAGAATGGCGCTTAATATAGGTTCCACAGATTGGGGGTAACTGAGAAATGTAATAATTCTAAACATCAATTCTATGTAATTTCTAAACTGCGCCTGTTCTGTGCATTAAATAGGGCAGGGCACCGACTCTGAAGAACATTTTGATCTGAATTGAACAGTATAATTTAGTTTTATCACCCGAGTTTTTATTGTAAATTGGCCACTAGAAACTCTTAAATTTGGCCAATCAACAATATCAACTCAGTTGATAAAACCAAATTATCTCGTTATACCCCCACCAACGCAGCAATACAAGTTCTTTAGAAACATAGCTCCTTTATGAGCACTTCAGTAGTCTGTACAACTGGCGCTACTTCCCCCGTTTTTTAAGCGATTTCAAACAAGCACGAGGAGGGAGAAAGGAGGGCGTAACACTTGTCGCTTCCATAGATCTACCTGAAAGACCTCGTCTATCGGGGCTTGATTAATGTAAAGAACTGCTCATAATTTGTTCAGTTGATATTTGGAAGAACCCGGGCAGGCTCGGTTTAGGTCACAACGGGCGCAAAAGCCATTCAGCCCGGCTTTGGTATGATCAGACTTTGATGTATTATCCACAAAGGGGCTTACCCTGTTTTGGAATTAAATCTCATTTGTTTATACATGCATACTAATTTACATAGCCAGGTAAACTGATTGATTCTAGAAAAGTTAAAGCGGCTCACGTGCCGACGTGAGAAAACACGTTTTGATTTCCCTACGTTAATTAAGGGAGTTAATTAAGGAAGTTCCCTTCTATGTCATGTCACATGTCGTTGTGTACCTATATTTCTTTGGGTCTCAGCCGAAGCGTATTTTGCAGTAGTTTTGAAAAGTAAAATGCGCCATCGCATACATGTATCAGGCCCGCGAGACAGACCCAGGAAAGTGCTAGGGAAAATTTGATTGTTTAGTCTTTGAAATGCTGCTCATCAAGAATCTCAAACCTAATTTAAATATCCATACGTGCCAATTTTTTTTTTAAGTGACTATTGTTCTTTCTGAACAAAGAGCTTTTTATCGCCCATCGTTATTTTGGTAGATATGCGTGTTTCATTTTAGTCATTTTGAACTGTAGATTGCAACTTACAAATTTTTTTGACTTGATAATGACGTTTAGCAAACTTCGAAACGTCGTCGATTTTTAGAAATCTTAAAATGTTTTAAGAAATGTTTTACCGCAATTTTTTTGTAGTTATATATTCCGAATGTCTGATTAGCACAATTTTGGAGTGTGCCATATGCTAATATGTTCTTTGTCAAGGAATGTGGTCAAATCAACTCTGAATAATAACGAATAATGATTCCATCTCGCTTGGACCCAAGTTGAGGGCAGTTGACAGTTTTCCTCTTGCACAGACGGGGGTTAATAGTGAAAAGGAAGTCATTGTCTGTATATGTAAATGCCTAATGTTGCAAAACACACTTATCTTTACCCACGTGACGTTAAAACCCTGAGGGTTTGCACTACCTTTAAAGGAGAAATGATGTCCAAATTCATCGCTATGCGGCAAGGAAACTGTGCGTAGGGCTTTAAACTGTTTATTTGACGGAGACATCTTCAATCTTCTGGCCAAGTCTCTAAAGTCGTTTCTAGACGAAGAGGAACAAAGTTGTTTACGAAATATGCCGTCTCCTTGTTGTGGGTTCATAAGACTACTGCGATCTTTGCGCAGATCGCCTTCTCAGTCCTCTCAAAACCATGTCGGAGAAAGGGCATATCACCGACTGACTGATGAGATGATCTCAGGTGGGTCAAGTAAGTTTATTTAAGTTTATCGAAAGGAAAATGAATTGAGTTGACGAATTTCAGAGCTGTTAGTGATGTCGTTATCAAATAAGTTAAATGTAACTTAATATTCGTGCAGTATCCAAACTTGGTATGGTCAGTTTCCCCTTAAATTTGGTTTCTCTCGAATTAATGATTCTTATTTGATTTTAATTTAATCCAACAAAGCAACTATTTTTCGTGGTGTTAGTTTCGTATTGGTGTAAACAATCGGACTTGTTTCACTAATCGAATGGCGGGAATTGCGAATGGCGGGACTGCGGTGCTGCGATGTGCTCGGAACTCTACCTCTTGTAATAGCGCGCAAGCGATAATTGTACTTTGATGACAGGTGTCAAAAGGTAGGCTAAATATACAATAAGTCGTCATTGCGTTATCACGTCATGGTATAATGACAAAAGGATCCATTTTTTTCATGAAATGTCATCTTTCACGCTGAAGCTGATATATTTGGGAGCTTTTAGCGGCGGAACTGAGAAACATTGGGGACAAAAATTCCTCCGGATTCTCCGCTAGCATCTCCGCTTCTAATTTCCGCGCTTGAGCTATGAAATCATCAGATTCGCCGAAAATTCGTGCTTGAAAGGTTCACAAAATGCTCTTGAAAAGCAAAATCAACCATGCATACCAGTCTTTACACGTATGACAAAGGGATATTAACATCGCACTGTAGCTGAAATCTCTTTACTATTATTTTCCGTTTGCGTTTTGTAAAGTAAAAAATAGGTTGTATAAAACAACCAGTCTGAACAAAGTTCGAAAATAAAGGAAATATGAGTAGTTCAAGGAGCAAAGCTAACCAAACTAAATACATATCAAACGGGAAGACGTTCGGTTTTCAACGCAGTCAATGGTTGAGTTCCTATCGAGTATAAGCCTCTCCTAGATCCGCCACTGCAGAAGGATTTCTTAAAATGACAAATTCATATTCTGTTATTGCCGAGCCATTTCTATCATGTTGTCCAACGGTATTTGCATGTTTCAAGGGACCAAAATACACTACTTATGACACAAAAGCAACGATCTGCTTACAAAGCATATTGCGATCTGCTTACAAAGAAGATTACGATATCACGTTAGAGCATTACCCCATACCAGCCTTGCCATACCTCCTGTTGGGTCTCAGTTTGTGCCGTAATTTTACTAGATGTGATCGTACTGACGTTCGGACCATGTGGTTCGCAAAGTAAGTATGAACTAGGATTTACCCTGATACCCCTCTGAAGATTTCTTGGAGACAATGCACTAACAGGCGAAAATGTCATCGGAAGTTTTCCGAGGTCATTGTGTGCATTGTGTCAGGATTCCGATAACTACTCTACTCCATTGAAGCCATCAGAGAAAATCGCAGGTGAAAAGCATGACAAGTGAAATTAGAACGCATCATCTATGAGCAAGAAGGGCATTATTATTATTATTATTATTATTATCATTATTCCGCGTCCTAAGTGCTTTCAAACAGAATAGAGCGCGTAAAATGTTTTTAATTCCTTAAATCGAAGTTTAAAAATACGTTGGCCATGAGTTCAGCACATGAATAGTTGAACACAGTATTCGGTTTCATTTTTAGCGTCGTAAGGCTCAGTATCGCCTTTTAGTATCGTAAAACCGAGAAATTATTGTTTAGCAAGAGACATAAATACAACAGCGGATAAACCAAAGAAAAAATGGAGGATTTGTGTAGGATGGAGTTTAAAACTGCATAATTGCTAATGCACAAACCATAACGCAATACTATATAGAATTTCTAGTTATCGGGACTTGAACGTTATTGTTGTATTAATTCAAAAATGTTCTCAACAGCACCTGTTCAGTGCACGGATAAAGAACCAGCTGAGTTGCCAGGAAGAGCCTTTGAAGGAGAGAGTCTCTTACAAAAGAACATGTGTGGACTTCAGTTAAAGCGAGTCTACATGGTGTATGAAAAGGATGAAGACAAATGAACGGCATGATAAGGAAAAATAATCAACCCAGTTACTTGGATGATGGATTTTGATCTTTAAAATTTTGATTAACCTATTTTTGACCCATGACTGATACACTCATGGATTAGAATTTGGTCATCTGTAAATTGTGGTTTCAAGAACGGTGATAAACCAAATTGATAGTTTTCAGCGGAACCGAATCACTTTTTGAAATCTAGTGATTACATGTAACTTCTCCATTATAAATAAATTGTAGCAATTAACGAGCGACCAGAAAAGACAAAAAACACGCCAACTTGCCAATATTACTTTCATATAACTAGTAGGTTACTAACCTATTCTTCAACGAAATACAAAGCAGTTCGAAAGAAGAATTGCTTCTTTTTTTGAAGGTTTTAAAAATCTCATGTTATGAAAGGGTGCGACAGAGGTAGTCGATCATGCGAGACTGGAGGAGTTAGGCTTCAGAGAGTAATATAGATATAGCGCCTCGATTATCAAGCCATGGTTGAATTTCGGTACAAGTGATAACAAATGCAGTGGGTTGCCAGAAATATCTCTTCATCCTAATATTCTTATACTTTTTATGTTAATTTGCCAGCAATAATTTCATTTCACTAAGTAACTGTGTCACCTATGGAGAATTTAAATTGCGCGTGTCACTTCACATACTTTAAGAGGCGTTCTCGACTAACGCCCTAACTAAAACGCTGGAGGAAAAGAGAAGGTCAATCGGCTCGAGTGCTGGATTCTTGCAACGAAATTTGATGTAGGTGTTGGAATTGTCTATTGCTATGCAGTATTTCCCTTCATCTGTATCAGATGAAAGTATAAATGATATTTAAAAGCGTCACACGTGCCCATATTCTGAACCGGAATTGAAACCGTGCTGAGCCTTAAACGACTTATTCGGCTGA